GCCAGAATGCGAATTTCCACGAGCTAGGAGCAGACATCAGAACTGAGACTATGCAGCCAGAACTGGGGTTGGACCTGGTGGGAAACTGTTGAGAGAGTTGCGGTCACCAGGCCTGGCTGTCCTCCAAGATCGGCTGGCCCTTTCCAAACAGATTCATCTTCCATGTGACGCTAGTGGTCTCTGCCCAAGTGATGCCACCACTATTTCCAAAGCACAGCATTTTCCAGAGCCTTCTGGCCTGGTGTTTGCTTGGTGCAACTCAAACCCAGAAGCAGCTCTCAAACTCCTTGTGACTCAGTGACAACTGAAACCCAGTTCTGACAACAGCTGCAAACTCCCTAGCAACCAGCTTCTTCCCTTTTTCTTCTGAGATCCTCCCTGCCATTCCATCAACTCCACCCTAGAGGAGAGGGACAGAGAGCTGAAGTCCACCACACCTAGCCTGGCAATTGGTAGAAAACACCCCCATCTCTTGGGCTTCATCCGGCTCAAGAGCTGAGCACTTGAAGCTCAAGTCTTTTCGTTGCACGTTAAATGTCCTCCGAGCCTCTCCCAGTAGGAAAGCAGGCCAGGGCCATCACCTGGGGGGTACAGAATAGGCACAGAGTACCGGTCCTGGGATACAGCCAGCCTGTGTGAGGTGGCATGGGAAGCAGGAGGCCATCCTGGTTCCCTCGCTCCTCCCCATTCCCTCCAATTGGTTCTGCCCCTCTGGGTGTCAGGGGAGAGCTTACTTCACACCAAACCCTGCATTCTGCTCCTGTGTGTGGCCTCCTGTGGAGACTACACAGGAGACACAAGTCACTGCAAGTGCATGCCCACCAACCAGCTACACAAAGGTGAGTCCCTGGGCATCCAGGAGACCTTCTTCCGGTTGAAGACAGTGAGGGAAGGCAGTACACAGGGGTGGAGGGTGGGATTGCAGGTGCTGTCTCTGGAAAGGAGCCAGCAAGGGAAGAGCTTCCTTTTCCCTGCATGTTCTCACATCCTGCTGCAACATCTTTTCATGGCCACACATGTGTACTTTAAAAGCAGTTTGTATTGGGGCCTGTGTGTTGTTTAGCAAGTAGACAGCCTCCTGCAAAGCCGTCATCCCATATGGAAGCTGGTTTGAGTCCTGGTTGTTCACTTTGATCCAGCTTCCTGCTAATGTCTGAGAAAGCAGAAGAAAATGGCTTGAGCCCCTGCACCTACATGGGAGAACTGGAAGAAACTCCAGACTCCTAGCTGGTCCCACCTGTCCCCAGACCTCCTTCTCCATTCCTCTCTCTGTGTAACACTTTCAAACAAATAATTATTTTTAAAAAGATATTTTTGAAAAGGTAAATCTACAGCCTAGGACATCAATATATCTGAGTCCCTGCTGCTCTATGCTAACGCACCTGGGAAAGCAGTGGATGACAGTGCAACATTCCTAGGTCATTATCACCCATGCAGGAGAACTGGCTGAAGCACCCATCCCCTGGCTTCAACACAGCCCAACTCTGGTCACTGTACCCATTTGGGGAGCTATTCAATGGGTGGAAGATCTCTCTCTCTGTCTTTATGTAACTCTGTCTTTCAAATAACTAAATCTTGGAAAGAAAAGAAAAGAGAAGAGAAGAAAAGAAAAAAGAGAAAAGAAGAAAAAGAAAAGAGAAAGAAAGGAAGGAAGGAAAGAAGGAAGGAAGGAAGGAAGGAAGGAAGGAAGGAAGGAAGGAAGGAAAGAAGGAAGGAAGGAAGAAAGAAAGAAAGAAAGAAAGAAAGAAAGAAAGGAAGGAAGGAAGGAAGGAAGGAAGGAAGGAAGGAAGGAAGGAAGGAAGGAAGGAAGGAAGAAAGAAAGAAAGAAAGAAAGAAAGAAAGAAAGAAAGAAAGAAAGAAAGAAAGAAAGAAAGAAAGAAAGAAAGAAAGAAAGAAAGAAAGGGGTCCGGCGCGGTGGCGCAAGTGGTTAAAGGTCCTCGCCTTGCATGCCCGGGATCCCATATGGGCGCCAGTTCTAATCCCGGCAGCCCCGCTTCCCTTCCAGCTCCCTGCCTGTGGCCTGGGAAAGCAGTCGAGGACGGCCCAAAGCTTTGGGAACCTGCACCCGTGTGGGAGACCCGGAAGAGGCTCCTGGCTTCGGATCGGCATAGTATCGGCCCGTTGTGCTCACTTGGGGAGTAAATCATCAGACGGAAGATCTTCCTCTCTGTCTCTCCTCTCTGTATATCCGCCTTTCCAATGAAAAAATAATAAAAATAAATCTTTAAAAAAAAAAAAAAGAAAGAGAGAGAGAGAGAGAAAGAAAGAAAGAGAAAGAGAGAGGGAGGGAGGGAGGGAGGAAGGAAGGAAGGAAGGGAGAAAATAAATCTGTACATTCTATTGACTCAACAAATTCAAGGATTTGAAATTTATCAAGTGGCATTGTTCAAAAAAAGAAGACATTTGAGAAGCAGCACTCTCACACATCAGCAACCTATCAGGGTACACCATGTTTGTCAGGGTTGGGTGGGAGGAAGGGAAAGCTTCATTCAGTGCAGAACAGAGAGCCCTGCTCAGGCGGTATAATCCCCTAAGCAACACTAAAAGTGAAACCATGCAGCCACCCTTCCCGAGTTCATTCTAAAACCAAAAACCCCCACTACTGCTAGAAGACCACTGCCTCTGTTTAGACAAAGAATGGGTGACCTCACCTTCCCCAATAGGCAGGTCCTAAAATGTCAGGCCCAGAAGAAGACTTGAGCTAATCCACTCCTAAAGAAAATGTCCCAGCAAAATTCTCAGGGCTTGCAATCTTGAAGATATTTCATTTACAAAGCACAGAAGCCAAATGTGATGTTAATGTTGTATTTTGTAAACAAGGATCCCTGGTCCAGCCTGGAGCCATTCTGCACAGAATAGCAAGGATTTGCCTGGAAGGGAAGAGGGGATCTGTCCAGGCTTGAGGAGGAATGGAAGCCTTGCTATTGGGAAGCAGAGCTGCTGGGAATGCAAGCCCAGTGGCATGGCCCTGAGCAGTTATCGTGTTAGTTTCTTTCTAGCCTTCTTCTGATTCCAATCAGATCACATGGTGAGAGGCAGCTAGGGACACAAACTGTAGAAAACCCAGCATAGATCCTTTCTGTCGTATCCCTCCAGGAAATGAGTAGTGGGACCAGAGTAAGGCACCTCCTATAACACTGCTATCCCTTATCAGAGTGCTGATTTGAGTTCTAGCTGCTCTGCCTCCCACCCAGCTCCTGCTAATGCACCTGAAAATGCATTAGTACCTGCGAAACCCGCATACAATTTGGTCAGGGGTTTGAGTCCTGGTTGCTCTACTTCCAATCCAACTTCCTGCTAATGGGAAAGCAGCAGAGGATGGCCCAAGTCCTTAGACTCCTGTACCCATGTGGGAGATCCAGAAGATGCTCCTGGCTCTCACCTTCAGATCTGCCCAATTCTGGCAGTTGTGGCCACTTAGGGAGTGAACCAGTATATCTGTAACTCTTGACTTTCAAGTAAAATAAATAAATCTTAAAATAGAAAGAAGAATGATAAGGAGGAGTAGAAGGAGAAGAAGAAAATCCATAAGCTTGGGTCTCTACCACCCACATTGAAGATCTAGATGCGAAGCCGGGTTTCTGACTTCAGCCTTGTCCAGCCCTGGCTGTTGCAGCCATTTGGGGAGTGAACCAGTGAATAGAACATCTTTCTCCCCTCTTTGTCTTTCCCTTTGTCTCTGTCACTCTACCTTTCAAATAAATAAATAGATGTTAAAACCAAAAATAAATAAATAAATAAAAAGGGAAAAGAAGAGTAATAGTTTCCATATTTGTGTGCACCTCAGTAACTTGAAGGCAGCTGACTGACTGACCAGACCTGTCCAGCATCCTCAGGGAGCTGCAGGGCTGCAGGGTCCCTTGGCTGTTGGCAGAGCTGGGGATACCCCATGGGTGTGGAACAGAGATCAGGGTCCTCACCGGGAGGATCTCCAAGGGATCAGTAGAGAACAGGGCTGGAGTAGCCGGACATTTTGTGGCACAGCCCTGCATCCCACTGCACTCTTCACCTGAAGACTCCAGGTAATTCTGCAGCCCCTGGTCCCCCAGGAGAGCCAAAAAACTAAGAAGCCCTGTGCTGACTTCCTTCTGCGGGTGTTATCCCCCTGGGGCGTGGAGCCGGTGACCAGGGTGGGGTCTATGGTCTGAGCAGGGGAAAACTCAGCTCACATCAAGTCTAGGGATTTTACAGATACGAATAAAGCGGAATGCTGTACATCCTGGTCCCTGATCTTGTCACTGAAGTTACTTGAAGCGGGTGCAAGGAAAAAAAAAAATACATAGTCAGCTTTAGCTCTCCGTGCCTCGGAGTCAGACTTCGAAGTGACATGAGCTTGACTCTTTCTCAAGACCAAAGTGCCAAAGTGCTGAGTCACACTCCAAAAAGAAGAAGTAGGAAGGAAGAAAGTGAAGGAAGCGCTGAGCAGCCCGGCCAGGCCAGCCTTGGGGGTGAGCTCAGCAGCGCTTTTCCCCCCCATTTGTGATTTTTGAGATGCTGGACGACGTCACATTGCACAATCTTAATAAGGTTTCCAATCAGCCCCACCCGCCCTGGCCCCACCCCCACCTCCAACAAAGATTTATCAAATGTGGGATTTTCCCATGAGTCTCAAAATTACAGTGTCAACCCCCCAATAAATATGAGGCTGGGGCTGGCTAAGGCTCATTCTGCCTCTGAGCCCACCAAGGGACAAACAGAGAACTCTCCTGGGCCTCCAAGCACCCAACTATGAACTCCGTCTTCGCAAGTAAGTGTAGTGGATCCCTGGCCCAGGGAGCGCCGCCAGCGCCTCTGCTGCCGCTGCTACCGCCACCACTGCCGCCGGGAGCGCTTTTGCGAGGGAGGGTGGAGGGCGAGGGCGGCGGGCGTGTGGCCCAGGGCGGGCTGGCCCGCAGCCAGCAGCCCGCGGCAGCTGCTCACAACCGCCTCTTCCCCCGGCACAGGCGCCCTCCGTCCAGCTCCCGTGGGCTTCGCGCTGGGGCTGCTCCTCGTGGTGGCCACTGCCTTCCCCACTGCTCCTTTAGTTTCCATCAAAGAAGAGCTCCAAGGTGATGCTACCTCAGATAAACCCTTCACAACGCCGGTCAAAATTGAATCTACCATTTCTTACATCCTCACAAAGATCTCCGATATCAGAAAGAAGGTGGGTAGGCTTGGCAGCCCAGGTGTGTGTGTGTGTGTGTGTGTGTGTGTGTGTTGGGGGGTGGCACATGTTGTCTTCGTGTTTTTGCAGTACCCCCTACCCGCCCCTATGGTTGGGGGAGACAGATGGGTCTTGGGGGTTCTAGATTCCAGACTGCCTTCTGCAGTTCTCTGCAGCTGCTCAAAGGATGGTCCTAGCTCCCAGAAAGGACGGGCTGCAGCTGGGTGCTCTGCCCCTCAGCTGTTCTCACACCTGTCCACAGCCTGGAAGAGCTGGGTGGAAGGGTGACTGATTCTCAGGGAGCCCTTTCTAACTGGACAATCAGGTCCGCCATCATTCCTTTGATTCCTGGAACTTTGGAAAGATTAGAAAAGTGGCACTTGGAATGAATGTTCAGCTTCTCCAGGGAGTTAGAAAAGTTACTAAACTGTGTAGTTGTAGAAGTTCAGTGGTTAGGACTCCAGGGAGGGGCGTCAAGGGCAGGGGTGGAAGCAGCATTCCAAGGGGAACATCTCAAGTAGATGGAAGCTTCTCCAGAATTTTAAGTGAAAATTGTCTTGGCTCGACCTGATAGAAAGCAAAAGACAGGAGAACAACATAAGGAACTGGGAGCCTGGTGCTGGCTCTCCAGAACCAGTTCCTGCATCTTGGGATGATTCCCTACCTCCTCTGGACTGCATTCCTTCCAGCTGTGCCCTGAACCACATGTACCCATGCTGGCATCATAAGTACCACCTACTGAGTGCCAGCCACTTTGTGCAAGTGGGATTGACTTCACAACTTGCTTGCAAGGGAGGTGATTGCCCTAGTGGAGATAAAGAGTCCAAAACTCAGGAGGAGCCCCCAGGGAGCTTGGACACGGAACCCACACTCGCCCCAACTCTAAGAGGCTCTTCTTGCCTGCCAGGGATGCCAGTGGGTTGTGACTTTTGTTTTTCTAAGAGGTTCTTCTAGCTGTTGTAGGAGCATGAACTGGCCCTCTAGTGGTGTTTGCTTTATGGACACTTTGAGCCATAACCAATCTGGTTTTCTGTTCCAGATGTGCAACTATGACGCCGACTGCCTGGATTGTAAGCAAGTACTGTCAGATGTCAACCTGACCCTTCCACAGCTGACAGAAAGAGACGGATGCTTCCCGTCGGCGCCAAATCAGGTATGAGCTTGTCATCATGTTCGGTGTGGGCTGTGGTTAGGCAGAAGTCCCTCTTAGAGCTGCGTGAATCCCAGACAACCCACAAAGAGGGAGATACATGTAGTGAACACTGTGGGCATGATGTTTTAGAAGAAGATCAACTTAAAACTGTTTCAGAGATGTCTATCTTGCAACAGCCATGGCCAGAGAGGGTCACTGTGTGCTGGGACCTTTATAACTGCCAGATATCAGAAACCCAACAAGTTCAACAAGTGAGCCTGGGGACTGCTGTCTCCTCCAGCTGCTCTTGGCAGGACCCAGGCCTGCATGCCCTGCTGATGTCTTTCTGCACAGCCCTGTCCTTCCAGTTAGTGAGGCAGCATATACTTTTATTTTTCCCCAAGACCCAGGTGGGGGTGGAGGTATGGAGAAAGGGGCAGTCTTCCATCTGCAACAGCCAGGACTGGGCCATGCCAAAACCGGGAGACCAAAACTCAATCCAGTTCTACCCTGTAAAGTAGCAGGACTCCACTATCCAAGCCATTATCTGCTGCCTCCCAGGGTACACTCCAGCAGGCAGCCGTGTCAGGAGCAGAGCAGTCAGGCCTCCAACTAGACAAATGGGACATTTGAATCTCAAGCAGTCTGAATGCCCACTCCCTGTGCTGACTTCCAGTTCTTGCAGAAAAGGAAGTCCAGCCCAACATGAGAGAGAGCAGGGAGCGGATAATCAGTCTAGCACTTGCTGGGCTCTGGGTCCAGTGATTTAATTTCATGCTTTTCCTGATGTTTTAAATGGGGTAGTCACTGTGGCTGTGATCTGATGTCCCAAAACATGATATTGGAAAGGTCCTTGGAATTCTCCAGCAGGGCTGAGGGAGGCAGGGCTGAGTGCTCACAGAAGGATTCTGAGCCCTAATCTTCTTGCCATCTTTTCACTTTAGGAGATTTGCCTGATGAGAATCACTGCTGGCCTTTTGGAGTTTGAGATCTACCTAAAGCACCTTCAGAACAAGTTCAAGAGTGATGAGGAAAACAACAACATGGACATTGTGCTGCAGAATAGTCAAACCCTGGTCAAGAACCTGAGGCCAAAGGTGAGTGCTTCCTCCCTTGCCACTGTGCATGGGGAGAAGGACTCAGAGGACAGGGCCGGGAAGGGGTCGAGAGGAGCTCAATCGTCAGCCTTTTTTTTTTCTCTCTCTCTTGTGCAAAATATAACCCATCAATAATTACATTTATAGCTATATTCAAAGAGTTGATTTGAATATCAATTTCTATGAGATTTTAAAAAAAAAAAATGTACTCCTAAAGATGCAAGGAGGTATTGCCAAGACCTCCCCAGTGGGCGACAGATACCCGGAATGGAGATCACAGAAAATCCTTGTGCTATTTCCATTAACTTCCAAGTGACAGTCTTGTCACGGTGGTTCTCTCTGCTTTACTCTTCTGGCTTTGCCCAGGGAGTTGTTGTGGAGATATGGCTGAGGCCTAAAGGCTGGGTAGGGCAGAACCAAGGACCTTGCTATTCTGATGGCAGATGATGGGAGCTGATGGCTCGGAGTTCAAATGAGCCCAAGATAGTGGTGTGGAAGGTTCCTGAAGTAAACCTTAGGGCAGAGCCTGTCCTGGTCATTTCTAGAGGTGTGCCAGAAACCAGGATTCCTCATCTTCTCATGTTATCAGGAAGCCCCCAGAAGCTCCTATTGTAATAAAGAGTCTAAGTGAGCAGGTCTGGCTGAGCGTCTGAGATACCCATGTCTGCCGAGCTCATATGGAATGCCAATGCAGCAGTCCTTTGAGGGGCAAGGCCTTTCCCAAGCTAGCCAGCCCCTTGGGGACCAAGGAGGAATCCAAGGGGGAAATGTTGCTAGCCCTTTGACATCACTAGATCCATGCCTCCCAATGGGAAACTGGAAGAAAGGGTGAGATGGAGAAGTCACTGCAGAACTCACCGTAACATTGAACTGTGGGTTCTTTTTCACCTGCGAGGTTCCAGCTATGCCAGCCCCTGTATGGCATCACAGAAGAAAAAGTAGTTAAGTATCTCAACAATCCCCTTTCTCTTCTTTTCCCTTCAGGTCAACACTACTGAAGAAGCACCCACTCTTGAGCCAGCCACTTTGACCAGCCTAAAGGAGAATATGCAGCTGAAAGAGCAATGGCGAAGGACGCAGACAATCCACTACATCCTGTGTGGCCTCAAGGACTTCCTGGAGTTCACCCTGCGTGCGGTGCGCCTGATGTAGTGCGGGCATCCCTGCGCACTGCAGTTCATGGGCACTGCTGCCCATGGTTAGAATACGTCATCCTGTCCACTGGATGCATAACTTATATTGTTTACGGAACTAAACATATGTGTGCTAGGACACTATTTTAATTATATTTTTAACTTATTAGTATTTAAATATGGGGAGTTGGGTTAATTTATATGTGATTGATATTTATAACTTATGAAATGAATTTGAATTATTTTATGTATTAGTTATGGAGAAATAATGCAGAATGGCTGGGCAATTTGAATATCCTCTGTTTCAGAGCCAAATCATTTCTTGGAATGTGTAGGCTTACCTCAAATGAATTGCTAACTTACACACTTTTCAGGAAATGTTTAAATTCTATTTATATAATGTTTATTATTATACCAATAAAACACTTTTTTAAAAAAAAAAACAATAACTAAAACCTATGTGTGTCATGCAGCGTTTTGCATAAGCAACTTTCTTGTCATCACATCATGAAAGAAAGAGCCATGATCACTATAAGAAAGACATGACTGAACATGCCAGGTGCCATGTGTGTCACAGGCACTCTGCCATGCGCCCCTGGGTGTACCAGTGATTAGTCTCCCAACGGGTGGTCGTGGGAGGGGCCTGGGTTTGAAATGTAAGTCTGCCTGCCTCTAGGTCCCCTGCTATTACTATTGCCTTCTAGGGAACTGAAATACAAGCCAGGAAACCCCAAAACATGTTAATACAAGGACTACAGATAAAGATGAATCAAAAGCCTTTGAGATCATTCAACTTCTGAGATACAGGGGTGTGCAAACTTCCAGATAATCACTGTAAGTTCTGCCTCCCTCCTCTGGGTTCCTCGAACATGGCACACACCATCTGCCATGGCATCCAAAGATCAATGGACTATTCCTGGCAGGTTGCATGCATGTTTTTCAAGAAAGCAATGGTGATCTAGCATATGGGCGAAGAAGACAAAGAGAACACACGCAGATGATCACATAAGAGACCCCGTGGCTTTGGAGACATGCCGTGTTAAGGGAGTTGACTAGTGTTGTGCATTTAGGTATCTTCCTCTTAAGGAAACAAATAAAAAATCCAAGGACCTCCAGAAGGGGCAAGGGACATCAATGCATATCTAGCACTCTTTGCTTCCCTCCTCAATATTTGTCAAATATCTTCTGCCCATCTCAGGAGCAACAGCAGAGTGGCCATCTGAACAATTTAACATCGCTCCGTTACCCTATCCCTACACAGCAGTAGGCACTTGCTACAGATTCCGCCTCTCTAACCCCAACAACTGCAAATTCCTGTCTTCTAACAAAGCTTCTTCCCACATAACCACATAGCTGCCTTCCAATAGGAGAGGGGTCCTGCTGACCAGGGGAAGTCCACAGGACCAAGAATTAAGAGCAGTGAGGAAGAAGAGCCTTACACTGTGGTCACTAGAAACCACGCCTCACAAGTGGGCTTCCGAAGATGGGAGTCAGAACACAGAACAAAGACAAGCAGCAGTCGGCCAGGACATTGAGTCTTCAGATGAAAAGTCACTAAGCACTGTGGACAAGTCAGCCAGTGTTTGTGGTGAAGAAATTAACAAGTTAGACATGGTCTCTGCTCTCATGTGGTTCACACTGTGGCAGAAAAAACAGAATGAGAGTGTGACGATGTTTAAAAATGAGGTTCACTGGCAACCTCTCGTAGGGCACTGAAAAAAGGGTGTCCTTAAAAACTTGGGGTCACAATCATGGAAGCTGGGGTGCAGAAGATGCAGAAAAGGTAGCCAGGCCAGGATGGGTAGGGTGTGGGTGCAAAGGTGTGAATCAACAAAAAGCACACTTTGGCTGAGACACTGAAAATCAGCTAATATCCACTGCATACAGAGAAAGTTTGGTTGAATTGGGGTACAAAGGGAAGCTGGGAGGGAGAATAAGAAACTGCACACAAAAATTTGCAATTTATCCCACATTTGGCAAGAATGGCATACGGGCTTTACACTGTAATATGATTCCCAGAAGAAGTTGGAGGAACTTTCAGGGCCTTCATTGGAGTCTGGGGGACAGATGATAACTTCCTGAATTAGGGTTGTGATAATTACCAGACAGGAAATGGGAGAGAAATGACAACTGTCATTGACAGGAGTGAGTTCAGTGTGATTTGGTGCCTAAGAAGCAAGGTGCAGGAATTCTGGAGGGTGCAGTAGCCGTTGGCTGGAAGGCTAAAAGCACAGAGAACTTTGAATTGGGAGGATTCAGTTATTCAAATATTCTGAGTAAGATGGCAGAACAGAAGTGACCAATGCTAACCACCTCCTCCACCAAAAGAAAGAAAGAAAGAAAGAGAGAGAGAGAGAGAGAGAGAGAGAGAGAAAGAAAGAAAGAAAGAAAGAAAGAAAGAAAGAAAGAAAGAAAGAAAGAAAGAGAGAGAGAAAGAAAGGAAGGAAGGAAGGAAGAGAGGGAGGAAGAGAGGGAGGAAGTCAGAAAAATCAAACAAATGGCTGCATGCATTCCAAGATACTGGTATGGGGACCCACAGAGAGCTGAGATAGCGGACTGGAACAACTGTGACCCTACTTCTGTGGCCAGAGGGAATCCCCGTTACAGGGGACAGGGTGAACAGGAGAGTCCCAGAGGGACCCCTTGCTGCGGAAGTCAACAACCCAAGCAACAGGGAAGTTCCACAGATGTCATAGGCTTGGAGCCCAGCTAGGGGAGCTACCTGAGGGCTGCACTCTCAAATTGCTTCAGAGAAGGTTCTGACCTGTATTCTAACAACTCCTAGAGATCAGGTCGTCACTATTCAGTGGCAAAACTGAGGGAGGAGGACTGCCTGCCAGACATCAATGGAGGACATACACTCTGCACTAACTACTCCACTTGTGGCCACCACTGCCCCACAGCATTCGGTGCTGCATTCGCCCCACAACCACAGCCAATCCAGCTGGGGTCAAACTGTGCAATAGCCAGGTACTCTCCAAAGTCACCACTTGCCTAGGGCTTATATTCTATACTAAACTACACTACACTACACTACACTACACTACACTACACTACACTACAACCACACTTACTCCTCCCAGCTCACTCATGACCCATTCCTGAACTCATCCAGAACATACATGCATCACCCTTACCATCACATGTCTCCCATGCCACCACTCTCACAACTGGAATGGTCACACAGTGGGAGCACCATCTCACTGTGGCATGTGTCATAATCACCTAGACTCCTAAAGGATGTTTCTTGTATCGGAAGAACTCTCTGATCTCTGAGCTCACCATTACACACACTGAAAGCAAAAGCCACCAATCAAAGCTGAAGAAGCTGTAAGCAGCTACAACTAGAACCAAAGTCAGCACAGTCTACTAAGCTAAAACTACACATATCTTCAAGGGAATGTCACTTATTGAGAAAGTCACTTTTATAAAAGTGGTAGAGGCAACTGAGCTACTTGACACACAAATCTCAACTCAGTAACACAAGAAGCATTCAAAAAGCAAGGTGATGTGACATGTCTTTTCAAGAAGTTTAAAGAAAAGTAGATTTATGATCTAAAAAAAAAGATTACAAGGAAACACAAGAGCAGTTTAATAAAACTGGGAAAACAACGTATCCAAATGAATGAGAAACTCAACCAAGAGACAGAGATCTTGAAAAAAACAAGCAGAATTCTTAGAAATGAAGAACTTGATAAGTCAAATAGAAAACAACTTAGGGCCTGGCAGCGTGGTCTAGCAGCTAAAGTCCTCGCCTTGAACATGCCAGGATCCCATATGAGAGCCAGTTCTAATCCTGGCAACTCCGCTTCCCATCCAGCTCCCTGACTGTGGCCTGGGAAAGCAGTCGAGGATGACCCAATGCTTTGGGACCCTGCACCCCCATGTGGGAGACCTGGAGGAAGTTCCTGGCTCCTGTCTTCGGATTGGCACAGCATCAACCATTGCGCTCACTTGAGGAGTGAATCATCAGACAGAAGATCTTCCTCTCTATCTCTCTTCCTCTGTGTATATCTGACCTTGGAATAAAAATAATTAAAATCTTTAAGAAAAAAAGCATACTTAAATACTTAAGGGGCAAGCATTCGGCCTAGCGGTTAAGATGCCAGGATGGCTGCATCCCACATGGGAATGCATGGGTTTGACCCCAAGTTCCAGCACCACATTCCAACTTCCTGCTAATCTGAACCTCAGGCGGGATGCCATTTCTGTCTTCTCACAGCTCAAGAAATACACACCATTCTAGTCGCCCACCAATAAGATGTAACCTCATGGTGCCCAGTCCAGGATGGCAGGGTTTCACTCTCCAGAAGAATATTTGAACCATTCCTCACATTTGCAGTTAAGGGGGGTGGGAGGGGAAGCAAACCACCAGATAGCAGCATTAGCCTCCTCTCTCTCCTCTCTTCTCTTTTTCTCTCCTTTCCTCTCCTTTCTTTTTCTCTCCTCTCTTCTCTTTTTCTCTCCTTTCCTCTCCTTTCTTTTTCTCTCCTCAAATAAACAAATGCAGTTTTAACACAGGTCAGAGCTTCAACAACAGAGAGAGTAGATGAAATTGGGGAAAGAATATCTGAACTTAAAGAAAAATCTTATGAAATAGCTCAGCCAGACAAAAAACAAAACAAAACAAAAAACATGAAGATAGCCTTTGGGACTTTTGGAACATCATTAAACAAACCAATATTCAAATTTGGGGAATCCATGAAGACGGGCAGAGAAAGGGCATAGAAAATACATCCAATGACATAACTGAAAACTTCCCCAATCCTGGAAAAGACATGGGCAACCAGGCACTGGAGGTCCCTAGGATTCCAAACAACATGACCACAAATGATGTTCAGTGTGCTATATTACAGCACAAGTCTAACACACAGAGAATTCTAAAAACTGCAAGAGAGAAACAAGTCATCTTTAACCACTGGGCCAACAGAAAATTTCTCAATACAAGCATAGTACAAGGGGTGGAGTAGGAGTAGAGTTGGAGCAACATATTCCAAGATCTGAAATAAGAAACCTGACAAGAAGAAACACTCTACCCAGAAAAGTTATCCTTTCAAACAAAAGAGATACAGACTTTTCAAGACAAGCAAGAAATCAAAAGAATCTCTCACTATAATCTGATGAAAACTGCTTACAGGTGTCATACACATAGATGTAAACGAAAACTACTACCATGAAAACATGTGGGAATATAAAGAAAGACCCACTAGAAAAGCAGATAGACAAAAAAATGAAAAAATCAAACCTTATAAATATGGTAAACTACCAACCCACAAAGACGAATAACAAAAGAGGAAGAAAGAACAAAGACCATTCAAAATAAATGGGAAAAAAAGTGGTTTTTAATATCAGACTGTATCACTTATTCA